GCTGGGTGGGTGACACCTATGGGGCTGCCCCTAGGTTCGAATCCCTGACAGCTGCCTATGAGCCAGAGCAAGTGGCAGAACTCCTAACTAGAAGGGGCAGCTCAGCACTCTGGAGTGGCCCACAGGTGTCTGGAACAGAAAGACCCGAGCGCAGCGCCTGCACACACCGGCCTCTCTGAACACAGTGCTGACAGGTCCCAGTCCCCGAAGGGCTTGGGCCAGAGCCCTGCCCCTGTAAGTTGGCTGCATGGCTGGAAGCTGACTCCTGATTTCCCAAGTCCTTTACTTAGAAATTTCCTAAGTGACCCATTCGCCTCTTCCCAGCTGCAAAACAAGCCCATGGCAGGGGGCAGCAGGGGGCAGCGCGGACACCCACAGCAAGTGGGAAAGGCTCAGGCACTCTCCACCGCTCTCCCCACCAGCCCTCTAACCCTTAGCAAGTCCAGGGGTGAGGCCTGGGTAAGCTGGAGAATGGGAGGGCGTGACACAGAATGGGTCCTTAAGGTGGCCCCTTCCCATGTCCTTACTCCTAACATTTGCAGAGGCTCAAGGCTGAGCTGCAGAACAGGCTCAAGGAGCAGCCAGTGGGGTTGTGGCTCTGGCCTCACCCCGGTTAGTCCCACTCCAAAGAATAGGCTCCTCCCGGAACCCCTGTGCTGCCTTTCCAACTGTCTCCTAGCTAGAAGGTGCTTCTGGGTGACCCCCAAGTCTCTGCGGTTGAGGGTATAACCCAGGGCTCACCTTGGGGCTGGGGCTGAGGAGGTACAGAGGGAGGCTTGCTTTATAATCCACCAGCACAGAGCGGGCTTTCCCCTGATGCTTTAGGGACCTTGTCCTCCGACCAACCTTCACACCATCTTCAAATGTGGGTGTTTCTGTTTTTGTTTGGGCATTGGGGACCTGCCAGTCCCCAGCCTTGGTGCCCTGGGCCAAGAGGAAAAAGCCTTCTGGGGCCCAGTCCCCAAATGACCAGCGTCATCTGACCTATTTTTTCAGAAGTCATGATGACCTCTGGCTCCAGCCTGCCCCTTTCCCCTTCCCTGTTCCTACCACTAGTTTATGACCTTGGTCTAGCCAGCCTCAACTCCCAGCCTCCGTCTCCTCCATGATGAGACAGGGCCTTCCCTTCGCTCTCTGTCTAAGTCTGGGAAGGCAGCTCAGCAGGAATGAACACAGAAACAGGACCTGAAGTAGCCCTGGGGTCAAACCTTGGTTCCCAATTAGCCTCTTAGGGGGCTTTGCCGGATAGCTCAGTTGTTTAAAGTGCCGTGTAACACCATGGTTCGATTCCCAGCTCTAGAAGCTGCACCAGACCTGCCCTTACGGCACCCTGAAGTAGCCAAAAAAGAAAAAGAAAAAACTCCTTCCCAATGAGATCCTTGGACAAATCATCGTTTTTTAAAAAAAAGCCTCCATGCCTCAGTTTCCCTGCCAGCAAAGATTTCAGTCTTGACAAGATGATTAAGCAGATAATATGACCATAGCACAGGGCCCCATCTAGGAAACGCCGTGAAGGCGCGGATTGCTTCTGAAACTGGAACAGCTCTGGGCAGGTGGGGTGGCTGGTCCCCTACAGGGGGCCCAGGTGGTCCAGACAGGGATTCAGGGACTGAGATGACCAGGAGTCACTGCCCAGCTTTAGCCACGCCTGGAATGCTGCAGACTGCTTCCAACGCCGTGTTCTCCCATCTCCTCTAGAGGGTTCCAGACCTTGGTCCACCTGGTGAAAGGCAACATGGGCACGGGCATCCTGGGCTTACCCCTGGCCGTGAAGAATGCAGGCATCCTGGTAAGAGGGACGCTGCAGGTGGCACCCCTCAGACAACCATGGGGCCGGAGGGAGGAGGGCTCTAAGCACGGAGGAGCCCTCTTGCTGGGAGGCAGCTTGGTCCAGGTTTGGCACGGGGCTCTCCGGCCAGGTCAGAGTTCTGGCCCTGCCTCAGGCTCCTGTGGTCCTGGCAGGTCGCCCTGCTGTCCCCAGGCCATGGTTTCCTCCTCCACAGAATGCAAGGGTGGGGTTCTACCTGCTCCAGTCACGCTCTGTAGAGCCTGGACCTCTCCAGGGAGCCAGCAGGGGCCCCCTATCCCCACATCGCCCCTGCAGCTGCTTTCTGCACTCCGGGAATCCCACCTGAGGTGATATTGGAAAGAACAGCTGTCCCTCCTGAAACTGCCTTGGAAACAGTTCCTTGGGAAGCTGGCTGTCACCAGGGGCACGCATATGGGCACCCTGCTGCTCTGCATAACCGCTTCTCTTCTCCCCGGCCTGCCCACCCACCCGGCCCTCCAGATGGGGCCACTCAGCCTGCTGGTGATGGGCTTCGTCGCGGGCCACTGCATGCACGTCCTGGTCAGGTGTGCCCAGCGCTTCTGCCGCAGGTGAGGCCAGCAGGAGGGAGGTCATCCCTGACACCCCCTACCTGTGGGGCGGGCCTCGGGGAGGCTGAGGTGGATCACAGGTCTGAGCCCAGCCAGGCAACTGAGAGTCAGGGAGACCCTGGTTCCAAAGAAAAGGGGTGGAGCTAGAACTCTGGGTGAGATCCCGGAGTCCAGTCCCAGTACAGACAGACAGACAGACAGACAGACACACACACACACACACACACACACACACACACACACAGGTTTGCTTCTTAATTTTCTCCACCAAGATGAAGAAAAGGAGAAAAGCACTCAGGATTCAGGGCCGGAGCTCTCACTGGCTGGTCTCTGTTCCCTGCTGCTGCCTGCCCTGTGATCAGGATACGCGGTCCCTGCCTAACCCTGCTCCAGAGCACTGTCCTGAAGGGGTTTCGTACCCTCAAGAGTGTTGATTCTTACTCTTGCTGTATAGTAACCATCTCGTTTAACAGGTAAGAAAAACGAGGCACCACGGAGTGACCACCAGGTCACGCTGCCAGCTCTCCACCTGCGCCCCTGTGCGCTGCGCCCTCCGCTGCGTCCTGCCTTGCTCTGGTCTCCGATGTCCGAGTGTGTGGCCTGCGGTTGAGGATGTGTTCTCTCCTGCAGGCTGAACAAGCCCTTCATGGACTACGGGGAGACAGTGATGCGCGCCCTAGAAGCCAGCCCCAGCGCCTGGCTGCAGACCCGCGCCCGCTGGGGGAGGTACTGGTTCAGGCCTTGTGCTCTGGGCCCCTAAGGGCGGGACACAGCAGGGGGGAACTGCTGCTGCCTGGAAAGGGGGCCGTGGCACAGGGTGTCAGACATTCCAGGGCAGGGGCTCCTGGCCCCTCCTGTGTGTCTCCAGCGAGAGCTCACTCCCTAATTACTTAGCTTTAAGGTCACTGGCATGCACTAAAGCACACTTGTCCCACTGCTCCTGGGAACAAGGCAACCAACCAGGCCTTGCGGTCACAGAGCCATTAATAACCGCCAGAATAAATGCAATAAAGGAGAGGAGGAGTGGCTATCACCAGCGGGGTGCTGGGGGCTCCCAGGGAGGGAACAGCTGGCAGGTTGTGAAGGAGGAAACCCCCGCAGGAGAAGGAAGTGCTGGGGTACAGGCAGGGCCTGGAGGGCCCCGGGAGGAGGACAGCAGCTGGGAAGGCGCCCAGCACCCCGACCCTCACACAGAGCTGTCTCCCCCACTCCTGAGCCAGCTGCAGCCCAGCAGCTCAGAGCCTGAATGCGCAGTGTCTCCCCTGTCCCTTAACACGGACTCTTCCTTCCGGCCTTCCCACTGCCTCTTGTCTGGGCCGAGGCCCGCAATGCCCTCTGCACTGGCTCTCTGGGCCCCGCAGTAGGTGCTCGGCAGACTCTGGGAGTGCGCGTGCCAGGTCTTCTCCATGTGTTGCTCATCCTTATGGACATCCCTGTCCCGGCTTCTTCCGCCTCCATAGTGACTCTCCCGGTCTCTCCCTCCTCCAAGGGATTCCACGTACATCAGCTCGCGATGCCTGTCTGCTCCTCTGCTGGGATGTGTTTTTCCTTGCCTCCTCCTCCTCTTCTGTCTCTCCCTCTCCCTTCTTCTGTATCTCTGTCTGTCTGTCTGTCCATCCCCACCTCTGCTTTTCCTTCCCTAGGGACTTGCTCAAGCGCTGGTTTCCAAGAACACTGTCTGCCCATAATTTGGATAAAATGTCCTTTATGTTGTGGCCCTTAGAATATCGCAGTCCTCTCACCTCCTAGGCTGTGAAGCCACCCGGAGGGCCACATGGCATTTCTCTGTGTGTCCCCACTGCCTAATGGCACCTGGTAGGAAGAGTATTTTAAGGCTAAGGATAGCTAAGAAAGTTTGGGCTTCCTGTCCTGGGCCAGCAGCGACCCTGACCCCGGGGGCGAGGGATGCCACAGCAAGCTGCTTGGCTGAGGCGGCTCCTGGCTCAAAGAATTTAGCCATTTACTGTGCTCAGAGTAGGAGGGAGTGAGAAGTCCATGCTTTACAAAGAACTATTGTTACTTCACTTCTTACTGGCCCTTTGTTGGTTGTGGTGGGAAGACGTGAGGGTGCCAGAACAGGGCCACCAGGTCCTGGGGACAGAGGGCAGGATGGCAAGAAATGGAGCTGAGGGGTGGGCCCCTCTCAGTGCGGGCTTTTCCTCCTCCCCTCCAGGCACCTCGTGAGCTTCTTCCTCGTCGTCACCCAGTTGGGCTTCTGCTGTGTGTACATAGTGTTCCTGGCTGACAACCTGAAGCAGGTATGGTCTGCTGGGGACAGGAGGTGGTAGCGAGGGATGCAGGCTCTGCTGCTCCTTGGCACATCCCTTGGTCTGTGTCCTGTGTCCGCAATGCAATGAAGGAGGCTCGAGACAGATTTGCCAGAGCACCCAGCCGCCCTCAGCGGAGGCACCTGCACAGTCGTGTGCGGTTGATTTTGCCCCAGTACCCTTTGCCCAGGATCCTGGACTCCTCCTCAAGGTTGACTAAAATCCTGAGCTGGAAGGACCCTTGGGATTTGTCAGTCCTCCTGTTTTGGAATTTAACCATAATAACGCTCTAAAACTGGGCTGTGTGTGTGTGTGTGTGTGTGTGTGTGTGTGTGATGCCTAATCTCCTTTGGGCCCAGTGGCTCCAAGGAGGTCATTGTCAGGAAGTCCTCGGATCTAACCTAGAAGTTATCTTGCAGCAAGTAGAACAAAATATGCAGACAATAGCAGAAGCCATCTTCGATCGATAGCTTACACAAGAAAAACTGCCTCTTAGAGCTCTTTTTCTGCTCTTGATGGTAATACCAGATTGTTTTTCGGTACCGGGCATTGAACTCAGGACCCTGTGCTTGCAAGGCAAGAGCTTACTCTACTGAGCTATCTCCCCAGCCCCAGAAATTTAGAAATGTAAAAATGTTAGGAGAAAGAACACCAGGGCCATCGACCTGGCCTGACAGATGGGCTGGGTGCTCGCCGTGAGCGCCGTGCAGTCCCTGCCTCGCCACAGCCCGAGCCCTGAGCCCACTGACACGGCCACCACAGGGCAAAATGCGCCCCGCTCCCTGCAATGCCACCTCATGCATGTGGTCATCATCATGACAGAAAGCTGCCCGCAGACCGGTTACCATTCGGTAATGCCCTGACACTTGTAAGTATCCCTTTTAATACTTTCACAGTATTTCCATCACACCAGTCAACTGTACACACCATCGCTCTTCTGCTGCTAGATATTTTATTTTTGTTTTTCTACCACTACAATGTTTTGGTGACATGTCAGTCATTCACAAGTCTCTGTGAAGCCCTCTCTTTTTCTTTCTTTTGTTGTATATTGTTTTTTGTTCTTTTTATTTGTTTTGGGGAGAAAACCCAGGACCTCACACACACTAGGCAAATGCCCCATTTCTGAGCTATACACTGATATTAAGCTGTGAAATTACTGCGTCAGATTTTGATTGTTTTGGGCAGGGGAGATAGCTCCATGGTCTAAGTGCCGGCCTGGCAAGAGCAGAGTCCCGGATTCAATCCCTGGCATCACATGCCATGCCAGCATGGAACCCCAGGTGTGCCAAGTCAGCCACCAACACAGGATGTGGTAGCACATGCCTGTAATCCCAGCACTAGGGAGGCTGAGAAAGGAGGATCGCTACGAGTCAGAGCTGCATAGTGAGACCCTGGACCACATAAATACAAGATTTTTTTTTTTTTTTTGTACTAGGGATGGAATTTGAGACCTTGTGCTTGCCAGGCAGTTGATATCCCTGGCCCAATAGAACATTTTATTTAAAAATGCTTTTGATTGTTTTGAGGAAAGCAGCCTGGCATCCATGGACTTTCATTATCTGTGCCTACTGCTGGCTCCATTTATTTGCCAGCTGTGTTGATCATCAACGCAAGCACTGTCTTGAGGAGTTGATGGGCTAATGGGATGTTCTAAAACATAAAACCCAACACCAGTATGATGCTTTGGTGCCAGGTCAGCCCGCACCTGCCTGTGTGCACCCACAGAGCTCACTCAGGTCTCTTCCAGGGTGCGCATCAGCCCTGGCCATGGATGGCAGCTGGGGAGGGGGGAGTGCGGCCACCAGAGCGGGAGAAGGGACAGGTGGGAACCTAGACGCAGGGCCGTGTGCGCCTCGCACAGGGAAGCCACCACTGCTTACAAGAGAAAAGAACCTGAGAAGAGAAAGAGTCTGGGGCCCAGGTAAGGCTCTAAACACAGGCCCTGGAATGCCTGCTACCCATCCAGGGACGCAAGACTCACTGATTCACATTTATGTATCCACGGTGCATACTAAGCAGAAAGGGGATCTCAAAGTAAGTTGGTGTTAAGACTGCCATTTTATAAGATACAGTGTGTGGCATTTGTGTGGCTTGTGACACTGCAGAAAACACACAGATGCACAGGTGGCAAAATGTCACCGTGTGGGGCCCTGGCCCTAGCTCAGTTCTTTAAGTGGCTGCTTCCACAAACCTGTCAGCCTCAGATTGCTGTAGTTCAATCCCCACAACACTCCAGCTAGCCAAAAGTGCCCTGAAGACATTCGAGGAGCAAAAAAAAAAAAAAAAGAAAAAATGTCACCGTGAATGTCCGTGGCACTGAGATTAACGATGTTCTTATATTTCCTTATTGCTCAGCTCTAGTTTCCAATCGTTCTGTTGCCTGAACAATTGTACTAACTGGTGCTGCGCATTCTAACCTACATGCGCCTGCCAGAGACTGCCAGAGAGGTGGACGTGCTGCGCGTTCGCAGGAGGGCGACGCGGTCTTGGCTCTCTCCTATTACAATGAGTGCAGGATGTGGCACCTTGGCAGGTGGCATTTGGGATGTTAGATGTTCTATTGTGGGTGGCCCAAGTCACACAAGGAAGAGTTCTCTCACTTAAAATGCTGGTGTGGAGCCTGGTGCAGTGGTGCAGGCCCGTGATCCCAGTACTCGGGAGGCTAGGGCAGGAGGGTTGCCACCAGTTCAAGGCCAGCCTAAAATGCATAGTGAGATCCTGTCTCAAAAACAAAACAAAAATGCTGCTGTCGGTCCGATAAAAGACACGAAAAGTTTGGGATCAGCTCAGTGGTAGAACCCTCGCTGAGGTCCAATCCCCACAATGCAATGCACTCAGCTAGAAAAGGAGCCAGTAACTGGAGTCAGCCAAGAAAAAGGAAGTGGCGGGTCTGTTAGTCAATAAGCCAAAGAAACAGCTTCTGGGGGAGTGTGACCCGAAAACCGACTTAGTGGAAGGGGGTTACTGACTCGTGCAATGACAGAAAATCGCAAGTCAGTACTCAGAGAAGAACAGGGCAGCGGGACAGTAGAGCTGCGGGGCGCCCTCCCGCGGGCCACTGCCAGAGTCACTTCTTACCTTCTATTTCTGTCCGCCTGCGACTTGAGACCTACATTCAGCGTCCTGCAGGGATTCCAAAAGCCCCCAGCCTGAGCCAAAGGCCTGCCTGGCGCTGCGACGTGCGCCCCTCCACAGCCGCACTCGGGCGCGGGCGAGTCCGCTGCACGGGGCCGCAAGCACCTTCCGGGAACCGGTCGTTAGATGAATTGTCAGCAGGTGTATCTCGGTAGCCTCCCTTGAAGGAGCGCAGCACACAGGGCTTACGATGGAAAGCTCCGACTCCAGCCTACGCCCTCTGCTGCAGGGACCCAGGCTGTGGGCAGCGCCGGCTCACGTGCAGCCAGATCTGTTCTTCACGTGTTCTTGCTGTCCCTTCTGCAGGTAGTAGAGGCTGCCAACGGCACCACCAACAACTGCCACAGCAACGAGACGGCGGTCCTGACGCCCACCATGGACTCGCGCCTCTACATGCTCGCCTTCCTGCCCGTCCTGGTGCTGCTGGTCCTCGTCCGGAACCTCCGGGTCCTGACGGGCTTCTCCCTGCTGGCCAACATCAGCATGCTGGTCAGCCTGCTCATCACCGCGCAGCACATCGCCCAGGTCAGTGCGGGCCGCGCAGTGGACGCTGCTGGAGGCGGGGCCTTTGTTCGCTACAGTCCGTGGTCTGGCTGTCCGGGCTGCCCACCGAGGGGTCCGTGCGTGGCTCACTCTTCTGCCTGGTGCCCGCCTCATTCTAAATTACTTCCCCAGGGTGTCTCTGTGCTGTCTCACTCACCTGGATCCAGATTCATTCTTGTGGCTTCTCCAAACACTTGTTTTTATGTTAAATTCTGGCTTTAAAAAATATTGCACTAGGGGGCCAGGCAGATAGCTCAGTAGAGTAAGTGCTTGCCTGGCAAGCACAAAGGCCTGAGTTCAATCCCTGGTTCTGCAAAAAAAAAAGAAAGAAAAAATAAAGAAAGAAAAGAAAAGAAAAAGAAAAACAGTTCTGTGATTATTTCACATCCAGGGTCAGAGGGCACACAGTGTAGAGTCCACACCCCCCTCCCTTTGAACTTACTGCTCACAGAAAAGGAAAGGGGGACTTTCACAGTTCATTGATTTCACCAGTTTTTGTTTTGTTTTGTTTTTTGGTTGAACCAGGGATTGAACTCAGGCCCTTGTGCTTGCCAGGCAAGCACTTATTCTACTGAGCTATAGCCCCAGCCCCTCGTTCCCTGATTCCTTTGGGGTCCCTGGTGTAGCCTACAGTTACAATGACAGCGATTTCAAGACCCAGGGCTACAGACAGACCCTGTGGCAGGCGGGCCTGCACAGCCTGTGAGCTGTCAGACTCCTCTGCAGGCTTCTGATGAACGGGGCTTCCACCCACTGGAGCAGCCCCTCCGCAGGACTCCACAGGGCCTCAGCATGCAGGCTCTCCGGGGTTAAACCCATGGTGATGGAGCCCACGTGCTTTTGGAGTTTTCTAAACATCTTGTTACTCAATTCAAAAGCATTCAGGTCTCCTCATGCAGTACTGAAAGAAGCGGCCCTGCACTGAGGGCTGACAGCATACCCTTCTCTCTCCTTAGGGAATTCCAGACCCCAGCCGGCTGCCGCTGGTGGCGAGCTGGAAGACCTACCCTCTCTTCTTCGGAACAGCCATCTTTTCTTTCGAAAGCATTGGCGTGGTGAGTTCTTCAGCCAGGTGACTGCCTGGTTCTCCAGGGGAAGTCACCCAGGCTTCACTCTGGGCCTGTGTCACTGGGAAAAGAAAAGCAGAATACAACAGAGAGGAGGCCACAAGGTGGTTTTATGTTTGTCTCAGTCTGTCTAATTAAGCATTCGTTTTCCGATTGATTTGGGGGGGAAAATGACCTCAGTGTATGGCGTCCAAATGATATAAGGGGAAAAAATGAAACTACCAACCTGAAAGAACCTGGGACAAGTTCGTGTTCTCTAAAACTGAATAATAAATTTTAGGAACAAATGGAGGTTATAAGCAGAATATATTTATTGAGGGGAAAGAAAGCTCCTGTGGAAGCTGTCTCTTCCAGGGACTTTTATAGAGGAAAACATGTGGTGAGGCAGGTCTAAGGTGGTGGAGAACATGGGAACTCGCTTAGGTGGGCACGAGGTGGGACAAAGCTACGGTCCGCCAAAGAGATTCTAAGCACCACTGCTCAGGTAAAATGGATTAAGCCCAGGACCAAATGGGGAAGGAGTCAAGGAGCAAGCAGGCATGAATGCGGGACAGGGTCTCTTCCTGTTGGGGGTTGCATTAGTGCTTCATTCGGGCTCTTTCAAGGTGACTGATACCTATTGAGAGTATCAATTCCTGGTGCCCATCCCCAGGGAAGTGTGGCTGCATTTGTTTACTCTTTTTTCTTGAGGTCTGGCCCACAGAAGGGCGTCTGTCTCTTGCAAAGCTGCCGAGTCACCTTGTCTTCCCTGCTGTCTCCTCGAGGGCCTGGCCCTGTCGGACTGCCTCTAATATTTCTATCTAGCTCAGCTGCCCACAGCACCGTCACTCTCTCTTCCCACCACGCCATGAAAGGCCCTCTTCTGCCGTCCCCTCTGCCAGGCCACCCTGCCTTGGAGCAGCCGATCGTGGACCAAAACTGTGAGAAGAGAGTCCCAGGATCCTTCCCTGGAGAAAGGCCACCTCATAAATCAGTCCCCTGGGATTCAGTTCACCTGTCCAGCAGCCAGGCAGCCGAAGGCCTCTGTAAGCATCGGCACAATGGCAAAAACTACGAACTGTGAGCTACAATAAACCTTTCCTCCACACTGTGGGAGTCAAATCTTTTCCAAGAGGCAATGAGGAATAAGACTCAGACAGATTTTGATATCAGAGAAGTGGGGTCATTGTTGTGATGCTACCTGACCGTGTGGGTTTAGAAATCTTTGGTTCTTGGGAGACGTTTGGGAAGGTCTGGAGATGCCAGCTGGAGAAGTGGCGCTAGATGCTGTGACTGGAGATTCTGGACAGAGAGCAGAAGGCCAGAGCGGCGGCGAGAAGAGCAAACAGTGAAGACCTGGTTCAGGAGGTTTGTCCAAGGGCTCCACTGGCAGCCGGACTCTAAGCCGTGGGTGTGTGAAACTCTGCCTACATTTTGCTCCTGTGCTGAGACTTTGTGGGAGACAGATTAAGACTGAGATTGTGGTCCTGCAGAGGTCCGGCAGGACCCTGTGGTCCGGCCAAATAGCTCAGCGGACTAAAGCGCCTGCTTAGGCAGAGCACAGCAGCCGGGGTTCAATCCCAGGCCTGCTGTGCTGGCCCTGCCCCCAGGGTGCCCTGAGATGGGGGTTGAGACTGGGTGTGGTGGCGCACATCTGTAATCCCAGCACTTGGGAGGCTGGAAACAGGAGAATCACTACAAGTCCAATCTATGTAGTGAGACCCTGTAGACGCTGTATCCTGTAGACCCTGCAGCAAATATAAGAAGAAAAAAAAGGAGCAGCAGATTCATCTGGCAAAAGGAACGTCAAGGCACTCAAACATTCAAGCTGTCGCATGGGTGCTTACTGCTTTTAGCCAGATTTTTTCTGAAAACCAAAAGCAAACAGAACAGCTGAACTTTAAAAACATCTAGAGTTTGACAAGAAAGGAAACTCAACTAAAATCTGGGCCTGCAAAGATGACCCAGAAGTGAGTTTGGTTGCTAAAAAGATTAGCATGGTAAAGAAGTCGAGGACTTTACAACAGGACACCAGGAAAGGTGGCTCGAGGGCCACATCTGGAAGGAGCGAGATTCCACACTTCCAGCTTGCAAAAGTGAAAGACAGCTTTGAGGAGAGAGTCCCAGGACACTTCGCTGGAGGAAGGCCAGCTAGCTAATCAGTCCCCTGGGATTCAGCTCACCTGTCCAGCAGCCAGGCAGTCGGAGGCCTCTGTGAGCACTGGCACGATGGCAGAGAGCCCAGCAACCCCTCCAGCTGGCAGCCAGCCTTGGCATCGCGCATGTGGTGTTGCTGTTAGGCATATGCAGAATAGAAACAGTTGTGGGACCGGGGAGGCTTCACCCAGATTTCAGAAGAAGGCCGTGGAGGCCAGGCGTCGGGTCCCCGAGGGGCAGAGAAGGCCAGGCGGCGGGTCCCCAAGGGGCGGAGAAGGCCAGGCGGCGGGTCCCCGAGGGGCGGAGAAGGCCAGGCGTCGGGTCCCCAAGGGGCGGAGAAGGCCAGGCGGCGGGTCCCCGAGGGGCGGAGAAGGCCAGGCGGCGGGTCCCCGAGGGGGCAGCGAGCGAAGCTGTGAGCGTGAAGGCAAAGGTGCAGCGGAGGCCCAAGAGTGTGGAGCCACCAGAACTCGGGCTGTCTGAGGAAAGCTGCGAGGGCTGAGCAAAGCCAGCCCAGGAAAGATGCCTTGAGGGTGCACCTGCTGGCAGCGCCACGGGGAAGGCCGAGCCTCGCGGCGCTCATGCTCCGCCCGCCTTGCCCTGGTGCTGGACCAGCACTAAGGTATCCCACTGTCCCCGCTTGGTTTCAGTCCTGCTTTAGGCCCTTTCCTTTCTATTTCCTGTTTTTCTTTTTGGAATGGGATGTGTTCCCTGGTCCACTGTGCGTCAGCAGTGTTGAATGTTCTTTTGACTTTTTCAGGGCCTCACAGCTAAGAGTTTGCTTTGAGTGTCAGAGGAAACTAGACTTTTCAGCTGTGCTGAAGCTTTAGGACTTTGGCAACTCTTAGAGAGGCACTAACTGTGTTGTTGTTTTTTTTCAAATCAAATCGGTAGGACAGTTTCAATAATTAACACATTGCATACATTCTTCCTAGTGGTTAATTGCTGTACAAGATGCAGACTTGATATCCTATTTACAAACACCATTAGAACAAATCTCTCTATTCCTTAAGAGAATGTAAGTATATATCTATCCTAACCATTTTGAATACATAGATACAAATTGGACATTCATCTGTATCCCCTTTTTTGTTTAGTTCTGTCATTTGAATATTATAGATGTGTTAACTCAGCAAAATATTCTAAAAGAGTTCAGTAACCCATAATAGTATTGGGTCTTCTGCTTCACTGGCAATGTCAGAAATTGTTGACCTGAGTCTCCCACAGCTCAACATAACAGCATGGCTTTATTTCTTATATTTCATTTTTATACTTTTCTTCTGGATGGTTAAGACCGAGGTAAAGCAGGACCTGTGCAACCAGAGTTGTAGCTTTTTGGTCTGAGAAGGTCAGTGAAATGCCCTCAGGATTTATCCTGAGATCCTGGACCTCAGATTGTAGAACCCACTAACTGTGTTTTGCACAGAAAGATGTGCATGAATCTTTGGGAACTGGGGATGGAGACACCATCATATAGGTCTCTTTAAAAAAAAAAAAAAATTTAATGTATTTAGTACAGAGTCTACAGGGTCTCGCTACACAGATGGGACTTGCAGTGAGCCTCCTATTTTCAGTCTCCCAAACGCTGGGATTACAGACACACATCAACACGCCCAGTCTCAATCGCTGTCTCAGCGCATCCCGGGGGCCGGGCCGGCAAGGCCTGCTGGGGATTGATCCCAGGTCTCTGCGCTCCGCCTAAGCAGGCGCTTTAGTCCGCTGAGCTATCTGGCCAGCCCTCTTTAATTTCCTCCTTTAATGTTATATTGCTATCGTGTGACATCTAAGTCAAATAAACACCATCAGAAGCCAGGCATGGTGGCACACATTCCTTATCCTAGCTACGTGGAAGGAGCGGATCTAAAGTGCAAGGCCAACCTGGACAGCTTGGTGAGACGGTCTAAAAGTAATTATTATTATTATTATTATTATTATTATTATTGCATCAAGGAAATGGAAAACAAAGCAGTTCTGCACTGTCATCTTACTCCGGTAAGAATGACTGTCAAAAACACAAAAACAACAAACTGTGGCAAGGACATGGGGAGACAGAACTCTTCCGCATTGCTGGTGGGGATGTAAAGCACCAGAGCCACTATGGGAGACCAGTGCACACAGACCTCATTTGACATGGCCGTGTCGCTCTTAGATAGATCCTCAGAAGAGTTAATCGTACGGGAGGGGTACCTGCCGATCCATGTTTACAGCACCCCGATTCATAGCTGCTTCACCCTAGAAACAGCCTAGGAGCCCCACCAACAGACAGCCGGATAAAGGAAGGGCGGTGTACATACTCAGGGCGGGACTATTTGGCATGAAGAAGTCACTGGTGGGAAACTTGAGACCATAACCTTAAGCAAATCTCCACTAGCATTTCTTTTAGGATAGGCCCGTTAGGAAAAAAATTCTGAAAGGACAACATTCACATTATTGAATGTCAGGGGTTTGTTTCCTCATCAGTTTGAAAATACAGTGTCTGTGCCTTTGGCGTCCGTCATTTCTGACAAGAAGCCTGCAGTTGTTTGAGTCGTTTTTCCCTCTGTGTGACAGTTTTTTTTTCTTTTCCTTTTCCTTT